AAGGGGAACATTTTACACTGGTCATCAGATATATTTACCTACTGGTCATTAAGTTATTTAAGTTTAGGTCAATAGACCCGCACCCGATAAAAATGGTGAAAAATTGTTCAAAAAGTTATTGCATATGATTTGACAGCTATTAACTGAATACTAATTTAAATATAATGTTACATAAAATATTTAAAAATATTTTCAATGTTTTATAAAATGTGTTTGCAAGTGATTTGTAATTTATGCACATCAACATAATAATTATTAATACAAATTAATAATTTTCTATATTTAATAAATGTCTATTTTTATACTATAATAGTATTGATTTAAAAATTATTAAACACTTATTAAATTTAATTTATGAATTTTATCTTAAATTAATATTGATTATTTATAATTTCAGTTATTTATTTAATACTTAAATGTAGATTAGTGCAATGTGAGTTAATTCAGTTAAAATATTTTTACAACTTTCATTTTAATATTTCGCTTAATTTAATAACGTATTAGTTAGTAAACATGGTCATAGATCGTAAATATACTACTTGTATATAAAAAGCTGCTTTAATGAATATTATTTTATTCAATTATTAATATTTGTACAATATTTCATAAAACTATATTTTATATATTAATGTGAAATATTTATTAAAATATACTGTATTAATGCTATTTCTAAGATTAATAAAATTGAGTATTATCTATATTATTATCACTATAAAATAGTGAAATGCTTAAAGATTAGTATGTTAAAAATATATTTATTATTGTATTTTCTAATACAGAATAAAATAAAATATTACATATAAAACAATAAATATTGCATAAAAATGGTTTCATTAATTTTTACTTAGAAATATTAGTTTTTTATTTAAATATTTAAAAATAGTATTGCAATTATAAACTTTAAATTTATCTACAAGTATTTTCCAAATGATTTATTTTTTAAGACAAAAATAATGTTAAGACAATTATCATAAATTTTAGTCGCACTACTTGATAGATAATTAACAACTAAGTCAATATATTACATAAATAGCATTATTAGTATAAGTCTCAATATACGAAGCAAATAATTCACATATTTTATTGATATTTATTTTTAAAATATGAATGTATGATTCTAATTTTAAGTAAATACAATGTATCTATTGAATTTACTATTGCTAGTGCCAATATTGTTTGATCATTCAATTTGCCTGGGTAATGTATAATTATATTATTTATGTTTAATATACATACATTAAACCTAAAATGCTTAAATATTTTTACAAGTAACGCATTCTAACAATTTAAATACAGATAAATATTTTAGAGAATTTATTTCAAAATTGTAGTAATTTTTATTTTTTAATACTAACAACAGATTATCAAGTATCAGGTGAAAATTGGCGTTCAGTAATAAATGATGAGGGTATCATAAATTGGCCATTCATAGACAACGAGGACAAATTGCGCGGGGACAAAACACAATTCTTTTATATACAAAATGCGGGCAAATCAAATTTCATTAAGTTTCAAGATGACTTTTTAAAAAGTTTGGATCCTGGAATAAATCATTTTGTTTTCAGCTACAAGGTGAGTTTAATATTTTAATAATTTAATTACAATTTTTTCAGTAAATAACCTTGTGGGCAAAAAATATTTATAAAATATATAAACTACATTTATTAAAAATATGCAATTTATTTAAAATTAATAATTTATAAATTTATTTATTAAAAATTTTACAGCTATGGGCATATAATGAATTTCAATTGACCCCGGAAATGCTATTTATATTTAACAAGGACCAAAAGTTTATTGATGATTTGACCCCCGACTATAAGTCCCATTTCCATAACTACTGGATTAGTCGACGATATGTGTTAACTCGACAACAATTACGTGACTTTCAAATAGACATCTCTTTTGGAACCGACACTATGATTGCATTGAAAGATATCAAAGGTACTTGTTACTTAATAATTAACAAACTTTTAAATTTTTTAAAACCATTAAATTAATATTTATAAAATTATATATTATTACTGTATAGTTTAAACTATAATTAATTAAAATATTTATTTATTATAGTTGAATATGAACAACCATTGAAAGCTGGATTAAACCTATATTTCGCACAAGATTACCTAGTTTATAATCCCAATAAGTCACATAATATCACTAGAAAATTAAATAAACAACAAAATGATATGGATATTATTAAAGATTGCCAAATACATAGAATGAGACAGCAATGTTATGATCCAGAATTTGACAAACTTGGTTACGAAAGTACCTTTGTCACCGCAGATATGATCAAGGATTTAAACACAGCCGATACATGTTTCACATTAAATTACAACACAAAAACTCCTATTGATATTAATGTTCATTATGGATTTGAACATGATAAGTTTAATAGAAAAATGTATAAGATATTAACTATTCGACCTAAAGTTAGTAGGGAAGTAGTACAGACAGCAAAATTTTGCTTGAAAGATTTAATTGCAATTAGCGTTAGAATGTATATTTTTATAGATGTAATACAATTGGATACTAAAATTGAAAAAGATTTTTCAATACAAATTATTAAAATGGATGATCCTGGTGGAAAGTGGGATTTTAGTTATTGGGCGAGGGTACCAAAATTTATACACCCTACATTAGCTAAGTGGCCATTACAAATACCGTATGGTGTATTTGTGAATTTTCCTGGTACAAATACGTTCAATGTAATAGGTAAAGTAATAGAAAATAATATTGCTATTATGTTGTTTTAAAAATAAATAAACAAGTTAATATTTTAAAAATTTAGTTAAACCTCAAAATGAACTACATGCCACCGCTATACTAATAAGTGACTGGATTAAATATACACTAAATTTACATTTGGTAGATGGACAATTTAGTATTGTGGTCAAGGATGAAAAACTATTTAACGCGCTAACAGTTAGACCAAAAATATGTAATGATCTAGCACAATGTGCAGACGTTAAATACGTAAATATTGTGAAAAACGATATCAAACGTCCAAATACCTGGACATACACATTTAATTTTGACCCGATGCTCGACACCACTTATATTAGATTTATGTTCGAGGTCGAATATTTTAAACCAGAAAACTTTGAAACATATGAAATCAAGTTTGATTTAAATCTAATCAATTTTGGCGATCCGTGTCTGGTTGATGACAAAAATTGTGTCAGGGAGAATTTGCAACCGGGTTGCCAAGCAAATGACAATGATGATGCTAATGTTTGCGGTAGTGTTTGCGCAGACGGGTTCACTGGACACAAATGTGAAAATATTGATTATTGCCAAAATCTTGTCGAGTTTTCACCTAGAAAGGCAAATTTATTTATTTATAATGTAAATTTATGAAAATTTAATATTATTTATTAGACTGGTAATAGTAAATGTGCTTTGGTTACACCTGCCAATCCTGGTACAAAGATTCAGTGCGATCATACACGGTCGACATTTTTGTATTCAAAAACACCGCCAACTCCAGCATATTACCGTTGTGTATGCAATCATGAAAATTATGTCAATTGGGATGGGTACGATTAATTAAATTATGAAAATATGTTTTATTAAACATATTTTTTATTTAGCACAACATGTAACCAGGTAACCGTCCCTGATGCTACTGGTTGGGCACCGGATACAACTGATCCAACAATGTTTACAGCAAACAAAGACGATAACCGATTGGTTTATACATTTCAAGACATTAGCACTGATAAACTGGATTTATGTCTAAAACTTGAATATGAACTGACAAAACCTACAATCGACTTAAATGTTGTTTATACTGACAGTACCAAAAAGGCTAATGAGTTATTTACTATAAATAAATTGCTAGTTAACAGAAGTCCATTAAAGTTTTGCCTTAGAGATTTCATGTATGAGCCTGATATTAAAACTTTTACACTTACAATCAAAGCCAAAAATAGTGTTAAATGGACTGATAGTACTATTTCAAAAGTCAAGTTAACACCGTATACTGAAGAATTTACTGAAAAATTGACACAGAGTGTAAGATTGATAACAGGAATATTACCATTTGGTGAACAGAAATGGCATACATTCCCTTACAGTGACAAGGAATGGACATATGATAATAAGATTTACACTAAGACAGGTAAATAAAATTAATTATCTGTTTAATATTTGACAAAAATTGTTATCAAAACTTAAATATATACTTTTGAATATAAGACAATTATTGCGTATATTTTAAATATGAGAAGTATAATGCCTTACCGAAACACTAAAATTATTACTAACTTATATTCGGAAACGAATAATTAAATTATTTCTCAATTGAAAATTACAGAATCGTTAGCACCGAAAACGTCATTTGAAACGAAATTCATTAGTAATTGGATTGAAAATGATGATGAAATTTTCAAGTTAAACAAACGCATCAAGATCGACATTCCCGGTTACGATCCGGCAAATAAAAATATCAAAATTGAGACAGCTATTTTATGGAAAGACAGCGATAAACCTGAACAACCAACACAAATTGTTGGAGAAAAAGACAAAATAATTGACAGACAATTAGATTTTGCAAATCGAAAAGACAGTACACATTTTAAATTGATTGTCATTTTTACACTAACTAACGATGGTGATAGCTCTCCTGATGTAACCATTAAGATAACTGATGTGAGCATTGGAGATCCGTGCGATAAAGCATTTGACAAAAAACCTTGTAGTCTCCGTGGTACGTGTGCAAGTAATATTGGACCTGATAAATATGTATGCAAATGTGATACAAATTATATTGGTAATAATTGTGAGGTAGATGCGTGTATAGAATCGTCGGTAAATATATTATTGTCTTAGCATTATATATAATATATATGTTTAATTTTCAATTTAATTATTACCAGGATAAAGATCATTGCGATCATTTACCCAAAGAGCCATTATTTGAATCGTTTTGCGGGTTAAGCCATAAATCTAATTCGACACCCGGTATTATATGCAAATGTCCAGAAAATAAATATACTTTTGATGGCAACACGTAACTATAGTTTTGTTTATAATTTTTAGTATACTCAAATTTATAAATTAATAATATTTTATAATTAATAATAACGTATATTAAGATTTAGAAAACTTTAAATTATTATTTACAGTTGCATTCAAAAACATAACTACGAGACTCTAACAATAACCTGTAATAACGTTAGCGATTGTGAATTATTTTTATTGGACCCGGCTACTATTAATTACTCGAATGGAAATATGCCACAAATTACCCACAAAGACAATACTGGCAAGAATTTGCAAGTTTTCCCCTTGTACATTTCGGACAAGGATGGCAATAAATTATCACAAGCATTTACAGATTTTAATACAGATCATGATTTGTGTTATAATTTAAAATATTACGCCAACGACATTTCACAATTAATTGTATCGTATGGCGATAATGATAGTGGACTAATGCTAACAAAACAATACCATGATCAAGATTTGAGCCAGCAACGTATTTGTGTTTCCGATTTAACGCCAAAGTTGGAAAAAAGTTTTACGATAAAGTTTTGGCCAAAGTTTGCGTATAAAGATCGAAGGATCGGGGTTAATATACCCGAAAATGTTAGTCAAATGTCGGAAAAGATTGAAAATTATGTTGAATATATTCCACGATTTGATGATATTTCAAAACCTACATTTAATTCACTTTTCCCCACAAGAATTGAGCCTGAACAAAATAATTTCTGGACTAACCCTCCTGGCACATCGAAAATAGTGTTCGCTCGTACGTAATTTAGAAATTATTTTATCAGGGTAAATTAATTGTCTAATACACTTGTATTTCTTAAATTTAGCCAATAACTCATGGAATGATACTATGAGTTCGTATTTGATTAGTAGATGGCTAAAAAAGACAACTGACCAAGTTGTTTTGCGATTTGACATTGAAAGCAATTTTAGGGATTTCATAATACAATTTATAACCTTTGATGAGAAAATGAACATGAATATTTCTGAAGTTATATTTGGCGATCTGGTCATGGACAAAAATGTATAAGTAGATAATTATTAAAATGCCTTATAATGTTTTCATTTTTACATACAGGCCAAGCAAACAAAGATTGGTAACCATGTGATCCTAAACGTAACAAGTTCACATTATAAAGTTGGGCTGCAAGTTAAGTTTAATAAACTCACTCCCGGAATGGTAGAATTATTTTCATTAGATAATCTTGATTTAAATGATCCGTGTTATGATGAAAAGAGCAAAAGATATATTGATTGTTGTGCTCATGCTACTTGCGAAAGGCATTTTGATTACAAAACTAAAATATTTGACTATAAATGTGGTAAGTGTGACCAGGATGATCAATTGTGGTATGGACGGCAGTGCGAGTATCCAAATTATTGCGTACAAAAATACACACCAAAAGTAAGAATGTCATTTCGAAATATGATAAAATTGTAATTTATTTAAATCAATGTAATCATTGCAATATATTTTTATTTATTATTTTAAGGGTATGCATGGAGATGACTATTGCAAGAGTAAAAATATTGGCAAATGCTTAATTGATAAACAACATATGGATTCGTTCAAGTGCGATTGTAATGGAAAACCTGGTTTATACTGGGATCATGATAAGTTCGAGTTGGTATTATTTTAATATTGTATAATAAAGTTATATACTGTTCAGTTGAGAATATAATTTATTACAAATTCATCATTTATTTATACCTTTATTATTATTGAGAGGTTTAAATTAATGTAGTTATTTTATTATAATAGATGCCTCCCGGTGCACACGTTGACTGCATAAAAACAATAAGAAGTATAAAAAATATATAAATATTTAAGTATTAATAAAGTTAAAATTAAAAATTATTAAAATACCATGTTATTAAAAAAGTAATTTTATTATTAAAAATATTTTAACATTTTATTTAATGTGTAGATATAACAAAACTCTATTTTTACAATTAAATGAAAAGTTTAATTGTATCAAATTATTGTAATGAAATGATAAGATTTATCATTTAATGAAAATTATATTACAGTTAATATTAATAATAGATCATATTAAAAGTAACAACACTTATAGTAAACCTGTTTTATTAATGGGCATTAATAATAAAAATATAAAAATATTATCTACTTAACCAAAATTCAAAGATGTAGTTACAATGCAATTAATATGTTTGTGCTTAATAAATAACTTATTTTTTATAACTAATCTGAAAATTTGTATTTAATCATAAATTTAGTCATAAATCACATGCATGCTTCAATAAAATATGTAACTTCTAAAATGTGTTATTCCAAATTGGCGGCCCTATTGGTGGAGCAATTTTATAATCCTCACACAGGGAAATCACAACCGCTTCATTTCCACCATTACCAATCTTACATTGTTGACCCGGATACAAGCCTAATAGTGTACAAGTTGCTCTAAAAAACGGACTGAGGTAATTCGTGCAATAGGTCTTCAAACTAGCTGTATTATTTATCGGTGGTAAACCGCACGCACAGTATCCTAGTATTACGCATGGAGAAACCCCTTGCGTTCCTTGGCAGTATTGGCCTGATATGTTGAGGTTATATATGTGACTCGATTATATATACGGTAATATATAATTATATAATTGGATTTTTATTCAAGAACTTGTCTTAAAAATAATACAAAGGTATTACAAATATTCATACAAATGATTTAAAAATCTACAATATTTGGTTTCACATCTGATATATTTTGGCAAATTATTAAAAAGTTTTATACAATTGAAAAATATTTGTCTTTCACATAAAGCTAATCGTATTTTTGGTATTTTGCAAAACAAACCATTTCTAGTTAGTATAAAATTCAATTTCATTACACCATTTGTTAGGAATTTTAAATAACTTGTATTTAATCTTAAAACTAATAACAAATATTGTATTTCTCTTGGTTTATGTAGTGAATAAATATTGCCTACTATTGACGGCATTGTTATTCTCTATATCCGGGTGTCTGTCCAAAAACGCCTGTCCAATGGGTTCACTCTTTAGCGCATACCGAGTGTCGACACTTTGGTCACAAGTTTTCACACAAACTATCTGTGGTTCAGATCTTATCCCAGATTTGACACCAATTTTTCGCCGATATTCTTTTGAAAGTCAATACAATTCTTAAGTATGTGAACAACTGATGTATAAAACCAATGCATGTCTTACAGTGCGTCTTAAATAGCCTATAGATAGGACGTGCGGACCCCCAGTGCCCAATAGTATAAAAACTACATTAGTCTGTTAGGTGGAGATTGTATGGTAACTGTATTTAAGTTACTTTGAATTCAATTTAATTTTATGTAAATTTTATGTATTAGAGAGTGTTTGTTGCCGCTCTTAAATGATCTTAAAAATAGACTCTCTCTCTCTCTCTCTCTCTAAAAACTATTTTTATGTAATGTTTATCGGTTTTAAAACACATACGAAGTGTAAACGGTTTTAATAAGCCTCGAAATATACAATACTCAATAAATACTGGTATACCATTAAATATAAATTGCACCTAGATGTATATCAAATCTAGTAAATTCCTAATAGTTGTGGTCAAATTAAGCAAATTATAATTTTAAAAGAATTTTTAATAGACAATTTACTGTTATTCAATGTTTAAGATTATTAATATAACCACATAAATGTAATTAAGCATAATAATATTTTATCGAGTAATATTTTTATTAATTGATTTAAACCAAATGAATACACAAATAATACTGTCATGCCTGAGAATACACAATATAAGAGTTCATGTAAATCTGTCCAGAAATATTCACCCATTTGCCCTTAAGCCATGTCAACCACTCATAGTATTAACCATTTATACAGAACCCTATTTTGCAGCCAAAACCCAAACGTTAAGACTTTTATGACCCCTTTCTATACGATAGAGTATCGACAGCACCGGTATGTAACACACTCTCTCTCCTCACCACTTACTGAACGGATGTGTTCAGGGATTTTGTAATGATTTTATATACATTTCACACAAATAAATACTTTTCAAAATTATTCAAAAGTTTTGTTTTATTTTAAGTTAATATTTTGTTTAATATTATTTTATCACTGAATATACCTAAAGAACCTGAAGTCAACTGATCTAACCCTCACCCCTCGACATCCCGCATGACATTTGGTGTCAGAATTCGGGGTATATTTCAAGCGATAATCTGAACATTTATTTTTGAACATTTGGTTTGGAAACTCGTCTCAAAAGTAAAAAAAACTTTAGAAAATCTGTGCGATTGTTAAAACAACTATACTTCTGGTACGGTATATACGGCACTGAATTCTTGGCTAGAATTGTGCTGGAATTGACAACTGGTTTGAAAATTGGCTCATATTTGGTCTCAAAAGTTTTGGGAAGTCTGGTCGTGAAGTATAGTATTGTGGTATTGATTGGCACTAAATGGTAGGAAATAATGATTTCATTTTGAATATACTGTATACTAAGAGACGAATGAATTGCAATTTAATGTATGGCAATGTTTGGCAAATATTGTGTTTTTATTGAATGAAATTACTGTAAATTAAAGTAGAAATGGCTACAAACAGTGATAATGATATATATAACAGTCTTGAAGACACCGCTAATGCAAGTGGTGCTCAACAGGTGTGTCTCGCAAATGAGTAACGCCATAGCGGAACGATTAGCCAGTGCTCGACAGCATATGATCCCTGTATTTAGTGGTGACAAAAATGAATGTCCGATACGTTTCATACGTTTGCCCGAAAAATATTTGCCCGAAATACTTTTGCCCGAAAATAAAACGTAAGTATTAATGAAATATATATATATATATATATATATATATATATATATATA